TGAAGGAAACATGCACTACCACGGACTACCCATTGATCTCCAGACGCCGAGAGGGATGAATCTGGTCAACTCCTGGGTGATCAGTTCCTGGGCGGGTCCTGAGCTAGGACGAAGCAGGCCAGATGTCTGATAGAATCCCTCCGGTAGGAGGCTGTTCCTCCATATATCCCTGGGCTTCAAGGAAGTTGAACTTCGACGTGAATGAGGTAGGTGTCTGGTAAAGCATCGATGTAATAGTTGTCTACCTCATACGACGATAAATATGCTTTACCTCGATGCAATATTTACGTGAATATAGCATGTCCCTGCTTACTTATATATCACATGAGAATCGTGTGGCTTCGGGGCACCAAACCTCTAGCGCTACGGACCCTGAGGCCAGTCTCAGAGTGGAGAAATCCAGAGAAAAAACAAAAGGTCCTCAGATAGTGTTTGGTCTGTTAGGTGCGTATCAACCAAACAAATAGATAGATTTGGTGGAGTGGCAAAGGCATGAACGATTGGCCCCAAGATTCGGCTGATGCTTCCTGAAGGTGGCAGAAACGTTCGTGTGTTACTGGCAAGATTCCGTGCTATACCAAAACACCGCTTACAAGCCTCATCATGTGGATCCAATCCCCTTCTCTTCCAAAACTTTCTGGTCATACCAAAACCGGGCATACAAAAAACCAAAAAAATCTAGGGCGACATTGACAGTTACCGTGTTATCTGGCCTGGTTTAAGCATCCTTTGACCCTCAAGAATGTACGTGTTTGAAACAAGTGGACGGTGGAATTTGTGCTGGGGCAAAGGTGCTCGTTGGAGTTCTTGACTGTCGCCCCACAAAGTAAAACCTGCACATCATGTTGGCTGAATATGCATTGGCGGTCCAAACGTACTGTTCATTTCACTTGTCGGAAGGGGGTTGGGTGGAACTTAATGATGTCAGATTTGCAAGTTTGCAGCACCTTCCTCAAGCAGTCGGCTTGGCTCTTGGCCCCTCCCCGAATCAAACATAGGAGCAAGGACGCTACTAGTATAGCAAGGACCCTATTAGGTGGAGGCCATCGCTACTAGGAGCAAGGACGCTACTAGTAGCTCCTGGCATTACTAGGAACAAGAAGCTACCAAGCTTGCTCGGCTTGGCTCTTGGCCCCTCCCCGAAGCAACCAATCCAAGGAAAGAACAGGAATCATTTCGCCCTGAGTGGTCGATGGCGAAGTGGCTAAGGGACGACCTCGATTTTCCTCCAAAACAGGGGAGTTCTCATGGCAAGTTCTCATTTCGGGGATACATGTTTCTGGGATTTAATCCAATCTTCATGGAGAAACGTGTTGGTTCTTTTTCCGCGAGAAAGAACGCTCTTGACCACTTCAAAAGCACCGATGTGTTTCCGTCGCATTGTGCGTTCACGTGCTGTGTTTTTGGGGATACTGCACCAAAAAAAACAAACGTGTCGGACGTGATTTGTATGAGTTATATGATATATGGGTGTGTATTAGAGTTAGAATCCATCACCCCATGGAAGAAGGAACATGGACCAGTCTACCCATTGGTTGGGTGTCTCCCTATTAAAAGACGCACCCGGTAACAAGAAGCTACTACGAACAAGGACGCTACTAGGTGGAGGCCATCGCTACTATAGGTTGGAGGCCATTACTAGTAACAAGAATCCGCACATTGATTTATGTTGTTTCTTTTCATGTTTAAACATGAAAGAGCCCTCCCAGGTGCCCTCCCAGAGGCAAACCACTCGACCTGTTTGGTTTTGAGAAGTGCAGTGACCAGGCGAACATGATAGACATTCTACCACTCGACTGCCATCGATTCCACACTCATGGCGATAAAATGTCTGTTTCACAGGTCCACTCTTCGGCCTCCTCACATTCGAAGATCCGAACGATCACAACGAGACAGGATAATTAAGGCTCATAGGACTCATAGCCATCACAGCTTCCAATTCACGCAAAAAGTACATCACAATCCACAACCCACAAAGTGGTTGCAGAATAGATGGCACAATCCCCCCCAAAAGGTGGTTTATATGGATCCCCATCTAAAAGACATCTTCGGGTGCCAGTGCCACCTACTCTGAAACCACTATAAAGTTCTAATGCTACTAAGGTGGAGGCCATCGCTACCAGGTTGGAGGCCCTCGCTACTAGTAGGGTGGAGGCCATCGCTACTAGTAAGGTGGGGGCCATCGCTACTAGTAAGGTGGAGGCCATCGCTACTGGTAGGGTGGAGGCCATCGCTACTATAGGGTGGAGGCCATCGCTACTATAGGGTGGAGGCCATCGCTACTAGTAAGGTGGAGGCCATCGCTACTAGTAGGGTGGAGGCCATCGCTACTATAGGGTGGAGGCGATCGCTACTAGTAGGGTGGAGGCGATCGCTACTATAGGGTGGAGGCCATCGCTACTATATATAGGGTGGAGGCCATCGCTACTATATATAGGGTGGAGGCCATCGGGTGGAGGCCATCGCTACTATATATAGGGTGGAGGCCATCGGCCATCGCTACTATATACAGGGTGGAGGCCATCGCTACTATTTCCAGGGTGGAGGCCATCGCTACTATTTGTATAGGGTGGAGGCCATCGCTACTATATATAGGGTGGAGGCCATCTACTATATATAGGGTGCAGGCCATCGTTACTAGATATAGGGTGGAGGCCATCGCTACTATATACAGGGTGGAGGCCATCGCTATTCACTTTCGACACCATCGAGGCCCGTCCGGAACCCCTCGATCTGTGCGGCACGGCCGCGGGCCCCAAAAACGGGAAGAGTCTTCCCTGCGGAACTGCCGGATGCGCGGCGCCCACGGTGTCTGGCTCACTCTTGGAGCCAGGACTCGCGTCTCACCTGAGCGGTTGTTACTAGTAGCTTCTTGCTACTAGTAGTAAGGCCAGGAGACCCCAGTAGCGTTCTTGCTCCTAGTAGCGATGCCAGGAGCCCCTAGTAGCATCCTTGCTCCTAGTAGCGATGCCTCTTTTAAAGGTCAAGTGTTCAAAAACACTGCTGAGTTGCCAACGCTGGGGGTGGGGTCGCAGGGTCAGAAGATGCGTTGCACAACACCAATGGCTTCAGAATTGGTTTTGCAACCTTTCATAAGTACTAGAAGTTCCTAGTAGCGTCCTTGTTCCTAGTAATACGGCCAAGAGCCCCTAGTAGCGTCCTTGCTCCTAGTAGTAAGGCCAGGAGCCCCTAGTAGCGTCCTTGCTACTGTAAAGAAAGAACAGCTTCGCCTGTGTGAAATCCAAGAGCCTACGCCAGAGGCTTCGGGAGCCTTCGCCAACATTTGGTTAGTTCCATACAGTCTAAGTCTGATCTAAATCTTATCACTCAATAAAAAGCGCTACTCACGTGGGAACAAATGCTCTGGCGACAGCATAAGGGGGGCCTACATTGATCACGTCAAACGTTTTTCTCCAAGAGAGAATC